GATAAATTAAGGCCAAAAATAAAATTAAAAAAAAAGAGCATATAATAAAATCCGAACAAGACAACTGTAACGAATTTACCCGTTTGGTTAACTGATTCAAGTTTTTAATTTAAATTGAGATGTGATTTTATGTGAGAGCTTTTTACTGTAGCAAAAAAAAAAAATGTGACAGTTTATTACTGTATCAAAACTTGAATTCTAAATTTTGAATTAGATTTGCTATGCTGTCAATCAAGTTTGTCAATTCATGCACATTCTCACCACCGTACATCTCCAGGTTGTAGCATCTTACGATATCTGAAGGGTTCGGTTCTCTTGGCCTTGGCCTAACCATCACTCCGGGACCTTTAACCACCTTCTTTGCATTCTCTGATGTCAACTGGGCTGGCTGCCCCGATAGCAGATGGTCCATTACTGGCTTCTGCGTATTTCTTGGAAAAGGGTCTTGAAAAATGAAAATTTCTCGTTGCACAAATAGTGGGGAACTAATTATGTTGAAATGTCGGTTGGATATATTTCTCTTTACTAAGGCTTTTTTTTTTTTCCTATTTCCCTTGTTATTATGTAAAAGGTGGTTTGAACTTTTGATCATTTTTCTTCCCATTTCTTCCCTCTAGTTAAGCAAACAATTTATAATTCTATTTTCTCCTAAAATCGCTCTCCACTCAAATTTTATATCTAAACTATTAATGTGACGCCTCCCACCCTAGCGGCGGGTCGCCAACCTTAAACTACTACTAATAGGTTGAGTTATTGTCTAATCTATTACTTGTTATTAGACTATCGTCTCTTTAATTTACGTTTTTCTATGAGTAATTTTTTTTTTCTTTAACCCTCGGGTTCTTACATGTTCCTAGCATGTTCTTTTGTTATAACAACCAGTTATCCTTGCTAATACTTTAAGAAATCGGATATGGAACTAGTCCCCGAAACTTATCTTAACTTATTACAGTCTATTGTTCTTTACTAAGACAATGACCGTAACATCTTTTTCTTAAAACTGAAACATATAAACTTGGTTCTATATTACATTACTCTGCAGCGGAATTTAATTTCTAAGCGAGCGTAGTAGAGACCACTCCCGTGTACCCATGACATTTTCGCCACCCTTGCCTCTGCCGGTCCATCAAGCAAAACCACTATATGGCTGGCTGCTTACCTTTGTTACCTGCACACGAGTAAACTGATGAGCTAACGCTCAGCAAGTATAAATATGTACACATCATAAACTAGAAAAGAATTACATTAAAAGTTATGATGTAAATATGCTCATGTGAAAACATGCTTTAAACTGCTTTTTATTTTTCTGTTCTCACTACTGTCGGCCTGGGCCCCTACTTACTGTCTTGTTACTGTGGGCCTGGGTCCCTGTTTACTGTCTGGTCTAGTCAGAATCTCTACTCTTTGAGATTTCCTCCCTTGGGAGGCTGACGACCCGTCAGTCTCTTTACATTACTGAACTTTGAGTTTTTTCATTTCAAAGTGTTAAAAACTTTACTGAATGATATGCAACGTTTCTCTACGTGCACATGCTAACATAAAATGCATAATACTACTTAGCATACTTTAACTGTGTATAAGGGTAGCCATATGTCGCCCTTCTGTAATCTAGGGCACTGAGCCCTCCAAACACTTATAATCACATATAATCACATAGACTTAGGAACATAAGTAAATTCATTGTTCTAAGTCTAACTACAGCTTACTCAAGTCCAGACAAACATATATGTCTATACTTACCAATAATCCGTTAGGATTCCCGCTTGCTAGAAGTTCTTTCTCGTTGTCTCGGCTCTCATGCCAAAACCTGTTTCATGGAAATAGGTATAAATTGCCTATTCCAAATCACAATTCTTCATACTTAGATTCTTAAATCTAATTTCAAACTCGTTTCTGAACCTTTTTCCCATCTAGGCCGAATCCTAGTTCAAGAGGCAAATTACACATATTTGTGTATCTCGGTTTCTGAATCTTGATCTGTTCATTTTCGAGCTTTAAAAATGTTATTCATTCTCTAGAATCGAATTACTAATTCATTGCTTACTAACTAATTTTTAGGAAATTTTGGCAGAGTTTCACCTTATTTTTCTCGTTTCCCGAGTTTTCAATAATTCGTTATACTTCCGATTTCGGTACCTGGAGTCAAGATTTACATTCCTGAACACATATTCCAACATAAAATTGAACAAAACATATGTTCTTTCTTAATCTAGGCTCACGGATTTTCAATAGAAATTCACCAAAACTTCATTCAATCATCTTAATACTTACACCATTAAACTCTTATTACAATGCTTTACAAAACCTCAGTTTCGATTTTCACTTTAACGGAAGTTTTTTTGAGATGCGTTACTATTCATCCAAATCAAGAAATCATAGAATTCTCACGAAAACTCTGAAATCTTACCTCCAGAAGTTGAGGTTTTTCGCTAGAACGCAACAGGTTATGTTTCTACCGGATTAAATAGAAGAAATCCCAGTGAAAATACTTGATCTTCCTTGATTTTCCTTTCTTTACTTCACTCACTCTCGCATATGTTTTTTACAAACCTTTCTTTGTCTCTCTTTTTACGAATCTCTCTCTCTCTCTGCTTTGTTTTCTCTTGACTATATTATGACTTACACTCACAAGTACATAACGTGAGTAATTGTAATGGCCTTAGTAAACTTAGGTGATTTTACAAAGTGAGTTACCAACTTAAGCGTCATCAAGCTGATAAGCTCAAACATAAATTAATGCCAAGTGGTAGTCTGCATGTGAGGTTTATATCCACCTCACGGTACAATCTTTTTTTACTTTTTACTTTTTTTTTCTTGGTCGGCCACACTTAGGTAAAGAAGACAAAAGTAGCTTCTAATATCTCTGTGGAACTGTTTAAGACATTAATGAATATTATAATATTATTTCTAATAATATCTAATATTATTTTTTAAATTAAATTAAAGAAATTAATTTAATTTTCATAATATAATTTTACTAGTTCTACCTAAGTTTAACACTTAATTTGAGTGGTTCTATGTTCCCTACATTTTTCTTGTCAAGACTTAATTTTCCGTTTTTCAAAACGAGTCTCTTTCCAGTATCGATAATTTCACACCCGGTACATGTTCTATACTGCTTTTTAGGAACTTTTATTATTTTCCTTACTTCTAATATTTCTACTCTTTTTCTAGCTGGTCATTTGGTCACAAACTAAATATTTTAGTTTTTCATATTAAAATGTACCCGCTAAAATTTCTAACTTTTAACTACTATTTCACTATTCATAACTGATATTTACGAATTTTCCTTGTAAGAACATTCGTATTATAACTTTACATATTTTGAAAAATTTTACCCTGTACATAAAGTTTTTACATAACATTTTCCTTGATTACATCAAAATCCTACTACTTACTATTCTGAAAAAGATTTCGGTCAAATACCGGACTGTCCGGATTAGACCTAAAATTTTCCCAGTCATTACAATTAATGACTATAAAGGGAATAAAAACGCACAATAAAATAAAAAAGACAAACGATAGTGAAAATGGAGAACGACACAAAAGGAGAAGCGTAAAGGAATTCAATAGACTACAAAACAAAAGGAAACGACAACAAAAATGAGAAATGACAGAACTAAAGAAAACCCAATAAAAATGATAAACGACAAGAATACAGAGAGACAAAAGAAACGACAATGAAAAGAGTAAAGACACATGGACAGATAATGACGATAAACAAGATATAAATACAAAGAGTTGACACATAAGAGTAAAGAAGAGGACAAAAATAAAACGACAATAAATAAAAGAGACAACGGGAAAGGAACACACAACTATGGAAATGGACCTGCAGATCGCGCTGATAAAAGACAAATAGAACTTGGAAGAACGACAAACAAGAAAAAGTAATAAAGATAAAAACACCAAAGTGAATAAACGACAATAACGCGGAAGGGATCCGACTGAGATGGGACGACAAAATGAAAAGCGACGACAATCACGGATGATACAAATCCAATGTACACTCTTAGAAACGAATAAACAACAAAAGAAAAAAGACAACAAATACTAAATGAAAATTAGAAAAGAACGAATTAACAAACAATACGAATCAGAGTAACTACACTGACGACAGTCATCGTGGTAAACGACAACAAATGCAAAAAGATGTCAATGACGAAAACAAAAAGTTCAAACGACAATCAAATGGAGAGTAACAACGAACAAGAGACAGCAATCAAGTGAAAAACAATGGAATTAATAAACCACAAGAATGGAACACATTCTATAAGAATTAATATGAAAATAAATTTAATGGCGTGAAAAATGGGTAAACATATGAGATTTGTTCTACTTGCTTTGTTTCAACTACTCTATCGATCACCTACGAATATTCTTGCAAAGCCAAAATCCAATATCTTGGAGCTCATCTTACTATCTAATAGAATGTTACTACGGCTTATGATTTCTATGATTGATTTAAAATCTTGAATTGCGGAAAGTCCTCGAGTAATTCCGACTGTAATATTGGACCTCTTCTTCCATTAAATGCAGTACCCCTTGTTTTTTTTAGAGAGAATTGCATACTTTATTCTTAAGAGTGAATGGGTCTAGATTTTTTTATCCCTTATTATTGATTAATATCCTTTTTCTATTATAACTATTTGACTAAAAAGGTTATTAATTAAGAATAAATAGTAGAAATTCTGACTCATGTACTTTTTTAAGGGATATTATCTGTCCCAATTCAAGTACATGAAGTAGTTAAATAGCCATTTGACATGCGCTTTGAAGTTGACAAACAATTCATTATGATTTACTAATTAGTACTTTCATATAGAAAATAACAGAAGAAATGAAACTATGGGCTCGTTTAGTTCGTTGATTCGAGTTTTTAATTCGAGTTGAGATGCGACTTTATGTGAGAACTACTGTAGCAAAAAAGTTAAATGTGATTGTTTGTGAGAGCTTTTTACTGTAAAAAAACTCGAATCAGCGAAATAAACGGGGCTTATATATATTCAGCATAGACTTGCCACCAAAACACCAACGATGTCTAAATTCTACTAATATCGATGCTTCACTCATAATGAACAGGGAAATTGTCATTCACAGTTATATATCATCAGTAAACGTGTGCCAACCGACTACCGTATTTTTTCTTCTACATTCCTGTTATTATTGGACGATTCATAGAAAATAAAAAAAATACTTGAAATCCGTAAAAATTCTAAGAACTGGTGTAGATAACAACAAAATCTTTCTCACGGCATCAACGATTAATTTGATTGTTTATCTGCCTTGCAATATTGTAACAGTTATTTCTGTAGAAGCATTTGGCTTATTCAATAATGAAGAGGAATCAGTTTCTATAAAAGCTCTTTCAGTGTAAAATCCAGGTTGTTTAGGTTGTGGCAATGAAGCATTTTCGCTATCCAACATGGAAAGAGCAAATGACATTAAGGGCCTCTCTTCAGGGCGTTTTTGAACACACAATAGACCAACTTGGATACATCTCAACACTTCTGATACAGAAACGTTTTCCATCAAACTATCCATCAGCTCCATTGGCCTACCTTCATTCCACAAATTCCACGCCTAAAATATTCCAAACTTAACTTTAGAATTAGTATAGGAATTAGAAAGACATGATAGACAAGGAATAAATGTAAACTAATTAACTAATTAGTCAGAACTCACATGTCCTAAGAGGTTGTGCTCATGATCAGGATGCTCAAATCCTCTGTTCTTCTTTCCACTTACTATCTCCAAAACCATGACTCCAAAGCTAAAGATGTCAGATTTCACTGAAAAGTGCCCATCTATTACATATTCTGGAGACATATAACCACTGTATCAAAACAAATAAAATAAAGCGGTGAATCACAAAATGCTTTAACAACTGCATCAGATTAATGAAAGCTATTTTTGACTATGTGTTCAACTTACTATGTTCCAACTACTCTGTTAGTATTTACTTCATTTTGGTCACCTCCAAATATTCTCGCCATGCCAAAGTCTGATATCTTGGGATTCATCTCATCGTCTAAGAGGATATTACTAGCCTTAAGGTCTCGATGAATAATTCTCAACCTTGAATCTCGGTGAAGATAAAGAAGTCCTCGAGCAACTCCCACTATAATGTCAAATCGCTTTGGCCAATTAAGTGCAGTACCCCTTGTTTGATCTGTGTCAATTCACATGACAAATATTTTACTAAACCAATTAAAGACACAATAACAAACATATAAACAAAAAAACAAAAAAACTCAAGATGGATTAGGGGTGGCTAACTAAATATATATAAGTCCAAGCTTTTATTGGGCATGTACTCATAGATCAACATCCTCTCCTCTCCTTGAATATAACATCCCAGCAGCCTCACAAGATTCCAATGTTGAAGCTTTGCAATTAAAACCACCTCATTCTTGAACTCTACAATGCCTTGTCCAGAATCTTTAGAAAGTCTCTTCACTGCTATTTTTTGTCCGGTAGGGAGCATACCCTGTATAATAGATCAATTTTTTAGCTTAAAATACATATTTACATACATACATATATACATACATATATAGAAAGAGAGAGGAGAAAAACTCATAGAAAGAGATAAGATTTTTCATTTGATAATGAAATACCTTGTAAACCGGACCGAAACCGCCCTCTCCAATTTTGTTTGTAGAGGAGAAGTTGTCAGTTGCATTGGAAATGGTATCCATGTCAAATGAAGGTAGCTGATCTACGTCATTCTCAAGAAGAATGGGATGTTCATGTTCTTTTGAATTGGTTACTGCGTTATCTGAAAAAATAATGAAAATAAAGTACGGAAACATAAAAACACATGCGCATAACAAAGTAGTGCATCCGTTAACTAGATCAATTCAATACCACGTGATACACTTTCTGTTTTGAGCAACTATCATATTCTTTAATCTAGAGGCAGCGTTAAAATATAAAAATTGTTTTTCTACTGAATGTCAGCATTATATTAACGGAGACGTCAGGGAGGGAATATTGTTCTTCACTCCGACGAAATAAACAAAGAAAACATTGTTCTTCACTCCGGTAGAATTCTTCCTTATTCTTTAATCTATTATACCAATAGTTTAACTGTTTTATTTATTATGATAGATATTTTGTTATATTCAATATATATTTGATCAAATGTGGTAGGCGGAAGTAGTTAGATAACCCGATTATCATGACTATTGACTAAATATATTTCCATTAAAAGAAAAAAGAAAAGTAAGAAAATTATTGTACCAAATTGGCTTATGTGTGAGCGGGAGGCCCTCCTCCTCTTCCTGATGATATACCCTCCCACCAAAAACAACAGAACAAACCCTGAGACAACTGACACTGCGATGATCACAGCCCTTTTTTTTTCATTCTCATCGGATTCTGTGAACCAAAGCAGAATAGATTGACAAATTAAGACATTAATTAGGAGTAAGAAAATAACAATTTCTGATCATAAAATAATACAATCAAAGGGGCTAATGGCGGTTGGATTAAAACAAAAACAACAACTCATTGGACAGAGATCCAAAACTGAAGCACTTCAACACAAAGCAAAACATGATTAAATCAAGTTAAGAGTATTAAGAAAAAAAAATGGCCATGTTCTAGCAGAGGAAGGTAATTAGGTCTTACTCAATTCAGAAGCATCCATTCGAATATACACATCTTGCCCGCCAACACTGAAACTTCTCATATCAAACAGCTCCCCAGACCACACCACACACCCACCAACCTTAGCAACAGCATAAGCCACGCAAGAGCAGTTTCTCCTACAAATCAACTCGCACTCCTTCTTCACCACCGTTCCGTTCACCGTAAACTCCGAATTGTACGGCAACTTCAACTTAGAGAACTTCTTGAACCCCTCGTTGGCGCTACAGTTCAAGCTCGTCTTCAGTATGCACCCGCTGCTTGAATTCCCCGCAGCCCAGGCTTCTGGTGCTTTTGGAACAAATCCAGTTGGGCAATGGCAAACATTATCGACACAGATGCCATTAGGACCACAACGTGCGAACGTGTCACAATCCTCTTTCTGCATCGCGAAGATGAGAATCCAACTGGCGGTCGTGGGGTCCCACCTTTGCTGGGTTGGAGATCCCAATGCATTCAAATCGAACCTGGTAAGCGTGGAATTGTCGGCGTTGTCGAAGGTATAGTAATTATGGGTTTCGTTGACAACATATTTGGGGATAAAGACTGATTGCTGTCGCATGGGAGTTGGGTCCCCGCCTGATCGAACACCATCCCAAGGACCATTTCTGTACAGGATGTCTTGGCCTCTGCGCAGAAGATGCTGTGGAATCCCGTTACGGTCCATTTCATACGTGTAGATTCCGGTGGATGGATCTTGGAGGTTGTTCCAGGAGTTCAGCTTCCAATTTTGACCAGTTTTGAAGTCCCAACCCAGCTTCATACCTGCTATGAGCGAATCACAGGGATGGTCGAAACTCTGCCATGTATAGTTTCCATTACTTCCATCCCTAACCACGAGGTTTCCTGTGTTTAAGAGCTGCAAAGTTGGGTCTTTCGCTGATGAATTTGAGGACCATATGGGGTTCTCCGTTTTGTTGCTGAGGATTACTATGTTTCCGGTTTCGGTGATTTTGAAGATACCCGACGAGTCTGTGAGAGGGTTGTCTCTGTTTTCGACCCAGACGGGTGTGAGTTCTGCAATATTGTTGAACCATATTCCTACATAGCGGTCCTTGGAATTCGGTGGGCTGAAAAAGCCTAATTTGAATTTTGCCCCGGTCGAGACCAGAGTTTGGCCGGTGTCTTGGAGAGTTTGGTTTGGTTTTAAGGTGTCATCAACTGCCAAAGAATAGTGGATGCAGAAACTAAGAGAGAAGAACAATATTACAACGAACTTCATTGGTTTTGTACAGTTAAATGGAAGCAAATCAGAGTACAACGCGAAGCAAGGCTTTTATATGATAAGTAGAAACTTCTCTCCTTCTCCGAAGTTTTATCGGGAAGAGTAACTTTGACTGGTCTATTATGTACCAATTTTGTTTTCCTTTTGACTTTGTGGGTGTTGGACTTTTATTGTATATCTAAGTGTGGAATTACCTATACAAGCTTTATCTTTTTCTTTTGTTTTTTTGTTTTTTTTATACCAAAAGTGTGGAATTATTGTTACCTGCAGATTCTAAAGTAACTTGTAATCCCAAACTGATTATAAACCATTACAATACGGCGAACCATATGGCAACTTCACGTGAAGTAGCCTCTTGAACCCCTCGCCGGCGCTGCAATTCAACCGAGTTTTACGAATGCACCCTCCTCTCCAGTCGAACCGCTCCCAGTCTTCCCTCGCTTTCCGCACAAACCCTTCAGGGCAACGGCAAATAGGGCTTTGGTTGAGACTGCAAATGCCATGTGGACCACAGTGTTCAAAGTTGTCTCACTCATTTTTCTGCAGAGTGAATACTTCTATCCACTCTCCGTTATAATTTACCACCTCAACTGTTTGATATGGCCTTCAGGGGTCAACCAGAAAATCGTGATGGTCGAATTATCATACACTTTGAAGGTGTAGTACACATGTGTATCGTTGAACACGAATATGGGGTTGGTGTAATGACTGAAAAAATTTCAGACCTTAAATAATACAATTCATGTATTTTTAAGCCAAGGATTTTCTTAGAAAATATTATGTTATATTGTGAATGGAGGATTTATGGAATTAATATATGTATTCCTAAATTCTATAGCAAATTTCATGTTAAGTTCATGTTTCGATCAAGTAAATTCGATCGATAAATTCTCGCCGTATTTTAAGGCGGAATAATTTTCAGTATAAGTTAAAGTTTAAGTTACAGTGACGGCCTCATAGGAGGGTCGTCACAGTAACTTAAACTTTAACTTGTACTGAAAATTATTCCACCTTAAAATACGGTGAGAATTTATCGATCGAATTTACTTAACATGAAATTTGCTATAGAATTTAGGAATACATATATTAATTCCATAAATCCTCCATTCACAATATAACATAATATTTTCTAAGAAAATCCTTGGCTTAAAAATACATGAATTGTATTATTTAAGGTCTGAAATTTTCTCAGTCATTACAATCTACCCCCCTTAAGAAATTTTCGTCCCGAAAATTAGAACAACTCGGGGTAGCTTTTCCTCGTATTCTCTTCGCGTTCTCAAGT